TATTTGGAATTCAGGATGAATGTGTATTAATCAACATCTCTCTGCGGCTGTTTACAGACACATAACGCTATTTAAATGAAAAGGGGTGCTTTAACATTTCAGTTTATGGCCAAGTTCACTGTCAGAGGTCACTAATGAACAATGAGTTCATTCTTTTTCCATGTTTTGAATTCTACAGTTAGAAGGTCAACAGTCCAGATCAGACTGCTAAATAACTGAAAACAATTAAGGCTTATTAAAAATGTATCTATTAAAATAAAGGTACAATAAAACAAAAATAAAAACAGAATAGGTTATCAGAACATTATTGTTTGTACCACTGTATTGTTAGATAAATAAAAATAAATAAATAAAATAGAATATGTTATCAGTAAGTTGTTAGTGTGTACTTGATGTTGTAGGAAAGTCTTGTTAAATAAATGTTTACTGATATAAAATCAAATTAAATGTATAATACATTATACTACACAGTAATAATTCACAAAGGAAACTTCACAATAAAATATATGCTATAATATACAAACTGATACAAAGAAATAATAATGATATGAAAAACTGTTTAGTGACAATATTATTTACTCTAAAGTTTAAAAAGAAAAAACACATCTGTCATAAAACTCATATGCCATGTATATGTAGCTTTTCCAGTTTTAAAAACAACTTTTATTATTTTAATATTTTACAAAAACGTGAATTTGTGTTTACAAGTTCACAACTTTTTTGCTAATGTTGCCATATTTAGAGGGGTTACAGGGAAATCTAGCATAAAAAAAACCATCAGTTAATAGGTAGGAAAACATTTGATTAAGTCTAAATAAAGACTTTCTAAAAGTGCTGTTAAAATGACAACGGTATTTATTTGAGGCAAATAAAGACTGACATTGTGCAGCACAACACATCTTTGTTCTGTTCCTTTGCTTCACTGCACTGGTCTTCAAGAGCCCCAAACATTCATCTTGGTCTCGCTGAGCAATCACCTGGGGGCTGTGCAATTAGAAACCACTGACTGTATCAAGAGGTGCAGGAGAACTAGTGAATCATACTACACCCTCTGTTCTTCTACAGGATCTTTGATTGAGCTGGCCCTGAAACCTCATCTGCTTCAGTTCATTACAGAGATGGCTAACCTTGTTATTATGCAAATCTCAGCTCATGAAGGAGCTGAAAACAGTCTGCAGCACAAGAATACATTTAGTTGTGAAGACTTGCAGGTCTGTCTGCTATTAGACTGAAATTTCTGAGGATAGGAGAAGCAGAAATTTGTATTTTAAGGGAGCAGAATTTTACAGCTATGGCCAGATGCCACACAGCCTACATTGAGAGATCGCTACACATGTGTTTTGAGATGCTGGGCCATTTTATTGGATCCCATCCATGGTGGTTCCTGATCACCCCTCTTATCCTTTCAGCAAGTCTGGGGAGTGGATTTTATTTTCTTGTGGACAGAATGTCCAACAACATCGAAGAGCAGTTCACCCCTATTTATGGAGAATCCAAGGTGGAGAGGAGATACTTCCAAGAAACCTTTCCAGGAAATGATTCCATGTTTTCGAATTTAAGGCTGAGCACAAGTGGGAATTATGCAACTTTCATAGCCACAAGTGACAGGAATATTCTGACAGTAGAGTCACTTCAGGAAGTCCTAGACTTGGACTTTAAAATTAGGAGTATGATAGTGCATCTTGACAGCCAGTCATTTGACTATGCAGATGTTTGTGCTAATGTGATGGGGTCCTGCACCTCTAACACAATTCTAGATGTTATTGAGTACAATGCGAACAATATAGACACTGTCAATTTGACATTCCCGTGGTATCACTTTGATTTGAAGAGTATTCCCTTACATTTAAGTCTGGGGAGTGTGAAATTGAATGCAGAGTGCTCAGTTGTTGAAAGTGCTAAAGCCATACAGCTCTATTACTATTTACGAAAAGACAACCAAGCAAAAATAGATCAGTGGTTGAAAAGTTTCATACGTTTGGTCTCTAATGACTCATCAGCTTCCATTAAGGTAAGCAGCCCTGTAGCATACCTGTGTTTTAAATCATTTGCCTTTAATGAAAGTGGCACCCTGTTAAATGTATTAATCATCTTTCTAGGTGTCATATTCCACCTCCATGTCAATGCAGTGGGAATTTGAGAAATCTCCAGCTTCAGTCGTCTGTTTATTTTCCATCACCTATGCCATTGCCATTATGTTTTCAATTATATCATGTTGGAGGTTGGTAAAGAATCTGAACTGATTTATCAAGTAGTGCAAACAGGTGAAAGGGAAATAGTGTAAAGATCTTTGAGTGTGCTTCAAAGCATAGAAAAGAGCTATACTGTATGATCATAAGACCATTAAAATTAAAAGAAAATGAAATGCATTGTGTGGAGAAACTGAATCTTTTTAATCTCTGATTTCTTCAGGTTGGATAATGTTCGAACAAAGGCATGGGTGGCGTCCTGTGGGGTGCTCTCCACAGGTCTAGCAGTCCTGACTAGTTTTGGAACACTGTTGTTACTGGGTCAACCTTTTGTCATGACGGTTGCCTCCTGTCCTTTCATGATATTAGGTAGGTTCTTATGAACACACCTGCACATGAGATCCCACTGTCTAAGGTTTAATTAAAGCTAGAAAGTATTCAAAACATTATTTCCTATTAACCTAAAAAAAGAAACATTTGTTGACATAGCATTCATTGTGCACTGATAGTAAAAAAGAATTCCAATCATGTGTCCATTTTCCAACACCTTAACATTTGCCAGTTGCTATGTCAAAATAATTTTCAGTCTTTGGATACTGTTCTTGATACCAGCTGTAACTGTCATAGGACATATCCTTGTTTGACAATCTTGATATAAAGTGTTGGTAAGGATAAGAATAATAATAAGGGTAATCACCTTTATTTGGCCAAGTATGTTACACGCTGATGATGATCACTGATAATGCACAGCATATTTTTCATTTGACACAGCCATGAGTGAATTAACTGAATTAACCAAAACTCAGAATAAACAATAAAGCTGCATTTACTGTAAAAGTGGCTAACAAAATGATACATATAGTGGTAGTCTAAAAAGTACTCCACCAATTTAGCATTGTACTGCGCTTCTACATCATCTGACTTGCACTGGACAGTTGTGAGGATCAAATTAATGCAGAATAATCAGACTCACTGTTTTCAGTATTCCACACATTGTATTGTATAAACCATTATCCACAATGCACCTTCACCATCATTAGTTTATTGGGGAGTGGTATGCTAGGAGCTAATGAAGCAACAAGTCTCTGAACTCAAGCAGAGGAGCATGCTACAGATGTCTGGTATGGTCTTTTTTCTCTAATCCCATGCCCCCAGATTTTTTTTTTTTTAATTTTTAAACTTTATTTTATTTTATTTTATTTTTGTTCCCAAACTTGTAGCCTTCAACCCTAACTGATGCTGACTCTAATGACATGATTTGATACATTATTAGATTTCATACAGCTTCCTCTGGAGTGACAAAAGGTACTGTACCACTTGTTTCTCATATTCAGTAATACTCCCCCACACCAGTAAATAGCCGTTGACTTGTAAAATTAGCTGACTTGTTCTTTAAAGAGCTAAATTTAGCAAAAATGGTGATATGGTCTTTTAAAATTTGATTTTGACACATACGTACCTTTATACAAGATGGGGTCACAAGATAAGGTCATAATGTTGGACCAGCCTAAGTTGATAATGCACTTTAGTGGTACAGATTCCTTATCAAATTAACAAAGAACAATACATGTCAGCTGGTACAATAAAACAGGTATAAAAGATTGACCAGCAGGAAAAAGAAGACAAATTGTGACCTCACTGACTTTCCATAAAAACAGGACACTTAACTACCTGCTTTGCTCTGTGGATAATACAGCCTTGCACACATCAAAGCTAAGAATCAGAAATCATGCCAGTTCAAAAATCTCTTTCTCCTCTGTAGGTATTGGACTCGATGATATGTTCATCATGATCTCCTGCTGGCAGAGGACCAGTGTTCTGGACAGCGTGCCCGACCGGTTGGCTGATACCTATAAGAGCGCTGCCATCTCCATCACCATCACCACCCTGACCAATGCTCTGGCTCTCGTCCTGGGCTGCAGCTCACCCTTTGCCTCTGTTCGATCCTTCTGCCTCTATGCTGCAATATCTGTTTGCTTCTGCTATTTGTACAGCATCACTTTCCTGGGGGCCTGTATGGCTCTGAATGGACAGAGGGAGGCAGAGAACAAGCACTGGTTTACCTGTGCTAAAATCCCAGAAGACTTACCATCTGGTAAATCAAAAGCTTTCAGTATCTGTTGTGTTGGAGGAAGCTATGACCGAATCACTGAAAAGGAGGAAACTGAGCTTGTGAGTCACATGTTTGAGCAGTTCTATGGGCCATTTCTGACCCACAAACTGATTAAAGTGTGTGTATTTGTCATCTACACAGGCTATCTGGCTGTTAGCATCTATGGTTGTTTGGTGTTAAAGCAGGGACTTGATATCAGGAATCTGGCTTTGGATGATTCCTACATCATCAGTTACTACAACAATCAAAGGCAGCACTTTTCTGAATATGGCTACAGTGTAATGGTTGCAGTGACCCATCCCTTTCCATACTGGGACAAGGACAAACAAGAGCATTTATACTCATGCATTTCTAATTTTGAACATTTGAACTTTGTTAATAACACATATTCTTGGTTTCTTTCCTTTCAACAGTATGCAAATGCAACCAATCTCAACATAAGCTCTCAAGTAGATTTTCAAACCCATCTTCCCCATTTCTTAGAACTCAACTCCATATTTAGACAAGACATTAATGTGACCGCAGACAATCACATTCTGGCCTCTCGCTTTTTCATCCAGACCCTCAATAAAACCACAATGGACGACATGATGACAGGACTCAGGAAAGCAGCAGCAGAATGTCCACTTGAGCTGCTGGTGTACCACCCAGCTTTCATCTACTTTGACCAGTATACTATCATTTTGGAGAACACCATTCAAACTGTCCTGGTGGCTGTCATTGTTATGCTAGTCGTCTCACTCATCTTGATACCAAATCTTCTATGTTCCATGATGGTGGCTTTTGCTGTTTGTTCAGTCATCGTTGGCGTGACAGGATTCATGTCGCTGTGGGGTGTAAATCTGGATTCCATTTCCATGATCAACCTGGTCATGTGCATTGGTTTCTCTGTAGATTTCTCAGCACATATTACTTACTCTTTTGTCTCCAGCCCCAAGAGCGACGTTAATGAGAAAGCCATGGATGCGTTGGTTCGTTTAGGTTATCCAATACTGCAAGGAGCTTTGTCCACAGTTCTGGGAGTGGTGATGCTGTCCATGTCTGGGAGTTACATCTTTAGGACATTCTTCAAAATTGTGTTTCTTGTGATTATGTTTGGGATTCTCCATGGCTTAATGTTTATCCCAGTGTTTCTGACACTGCTCCACACCTGTGGGAAATGGCATTAAAGTGGAACTGAATTTTGAAAATAGTTTAAACTGATAGTGCAGCTACTGTGCATTAATATTACTTTTTTTTTTAAGATGAGAAGCCTGTTTTGGATGTATTTGTAGAAACTGTGCTGCTGCCACTTGCTATGGTTGATAGTAACCGGATCAGATAGTGTTCACAATAGCACAATTAGAACAACATAAAGCTTATCATGTTAGAACAAGAAAAGTTTGTTTTAAAAAGACACATGGGTTTTGTATAATCATGAAAACATTTCATGATATATAGTTTCTTGTAAAAATGTAATAATTTGGTACCTAGTAATGATGATAAAATACATCATAAAATGAAAAATATCATGTGAAAAGACTCATAACAGATTTTTTAAATTTGTTATTATAGCAGCATTTTGGTGCCTTTCATTTGCAGTATAAATGTAAATAAATTGTCTCTTTTTCAAAAGGCCCACAGTGTTGGTTATAACCCTTTAGTGCTTTAAGAAACCTCTCCCTTTAATACATTCAACATTTAGGGGGGGGACCCTTCATGTTTTCTTATGTTTGTATTTCATTTCAAAATTGGAACCTTGGCTAACTAGTGCCAAGTTAGTGTTACCAGACTGCGAAGTAATGGTTAGTCCTGGGCCTCAGCAGCCAGTACTTCATAATTCACATCACTACACAGAATAAATAACAGCCAGACTCTAGGTGGCACCGAAGAGTAAAAAGTAATTCAAACAGCAAAAAACAGTGGCTGACAGTGTTTTATTTCCAGGTTATTACTTGTTTTTGTGGATATCAATGTCACAAGGTAAAATGATTCAAAATATATATTGTAGCTTGACATTTCAGAAATATAATCCCTGTTCCATTTCTCAGATTTGTCATTTTGTTCAACTTGTAAAAATAAATCTGCAGCACACTCCCTCTCACTAATCCACACATACAAAGCAACAAACCTTTATTTGGGCCTCTTATTTCTTCTGCACAGATGTTCATTAACTGCTGCCATCATACTGCTGAAAGGCTTTGTCAACCAATGGCAAAGAGCCATTCAGTGTCTACACAACATAACAGTGTTACTATACATCTATATACACAACGTTCCCATATCCCAGTCCCAAAGTACAGACAGTAGATAATAAATAAGAAACATAAGAGATAGTGTACAACTGAAGCACAAAAAAAAAACAAACATAACACTATATCACATCACATATGTTGGTAGTAATCTTGACAAGAGCTATAACTTCTGTTCTTAAATGCTACAATGTGGGTGACAAGTGCTGGTGCCCCTTTACCTGTTCAACCTCTGCTCAAACTGTGTTGAAGAAATGTCAAATTTAGAATTGAGGATTTACAACCAGATTTAATGAACTGTTACAGCCTAAACGTCATGTTTGTTTCACATCTTTCACTCGTGGAAAAAGGGCCATTAAACACTGGAATCTCTGATCATTCACAGTGTACAGAAATATTTACTATACAGAACGGTATGCAGCACTACATGTGGGGGAGAAATGTGTCTGATGTTATGACAAAGGTGGACAATAACTAAAGGAACTGGATAAACACAATTTGTACTCACAAAGAAAAAAAAAGAAAAACTTTGCTGAGGCCACTCAGAAGCCCAATTAGGTCAACATTACAAGTCTAAAATCCTAATGCTCCCAATGCTCCATTACTACATAAACACAGCCATTTGTTGCATGCCTTTTGAGGCCAAGCAGCACAATTCTTATTCAGTCTGTACAAACAGTATAAATGAAATCATTTACATGAAGAGCAGACAAATGCACTGCCAATTTGCACACTTAATCAAAGTGCTGAGATATTGTAGTTCAACTTGTACTACCCATTTCAATAGGGAAAAAAAAAATACACATCTCAAAAGGCCACCTTTAAAATTAAGCAACAGGAACATTCAGAGGAGTCCGGCAGGACAGGACAATGGATATGCATGATGTTCAGCCATCCTGGATGCAAACAATCAGGTGGAACGACATGACAGCTCTAGATGCTACGTTGAGAATTAAGGGCAAAGCACACCAGCAGCGTGTGATGCATCAAAACCCCTGCACCCACTATGTTCAATGCAAGCCAATGCACTTGCAGCGAAGTGACAGGCATCAACTCTGCCAGTGTGTATCGAACATACAAGTTTAGAGTCAGTTAAATTCTGCTTTGGTTACCCAGCAGCTCTTTGGGAACATGTAGCTCAGCACTGACAGATTGAGAATCTATGATGACCTGGCTGAACAAATTCAATCCTATACAGGTACTGTTTTGAAGTTTTAGGTGTATATTCACGTATCATTTCCTCCCACCAATGGACCAAGCAATCTGAGCAACATCCTTAATGTTAGGCATTTAATGTCTTGACCTTTGCCATATATGTGCTTATGTCTGAACACAGCACAGTCGTGTTTAAGTTTCAAATAAAACTAACTGTCTGGGGAAATTCATGAGATTCTATAAAGGTGACAGCATGAAGATATGACTTTGCCCCACATGAACACTTGTCGAGACTATGTGAACGCAGGCTGTGACTTCCCAATGCTCTGATTCACAGCTCAAGAACAGAGTCATTTCCTCTTTCCTTAATGCCTGAGCTCTTAAAATCTGACCCCCTCCCCATTGCTACCCAGTGATTGCTGCTGTCCTGGCCGGTTTCATCTGGTCTCCAGGGTCTTGCCCTCCAGGACCATCTGGATTTCTTTGGCATCCAGTGTCTCGTACATTAGCAGAGCATCTGCCAGGTTCTTGTGCTCCTTAGCATGGGATTTCAGCAGGCGTTTGGCACGCTCATAAGAGTCCTAGGGACACCAAGAGGGAAGTTAGGTTAGAAATGTTTCCACAGGCGGTGAACTGGTCATGTTCGGCTGCAGGATCACACAGACCTTCAGTAAAACTCTGACTTCATGCTCAACAGCAGCCTGTGTCTCTGGGCTCTGCTCTGTCAGGTTACTATAGGTCATCACACCCAGCTGCAAGGCAGGGAGGGAACCAATTACATACATAAACGTTAATTACCAGAAAAAAGGAAAAGAAAAAAAAAAGAGAAGAATGTGAATGCCCTTTCTTTTTTTAAGTCCCTGACAAGTCACCTACCTTTTCACACATTCCAAATCTGGTCACCATCATCTTGGCGATCTTTGTAGCACCGTCAAAGTCACTTGATGCTCCTGTACAGGAAGAAATGCCGTACATAACCGATTATGTTGCCTTTTAAAATTTGAGACTGATGAATACTTTTTCTTCTATAAAATAATACAGGCTTTTTTTTTTTTATTCTGTCCTCTCATCTAAAACCTTTTTGACTCACTGGCCCTTTTGGGAGCTATTCCCTACCTGTTGTGATGTTCTCCTGGCCAAATATAATCTCCTCTGCTACGCGGCCACCCATGCTGACGTCCATCTGCGCCAGAAGCTGAGAGCGAGTCTCACTCCAGCGATCGTTCTCTGGGAGCATGGACACCTGACAAGATAGGTAGAAGACATTAGGGAAGAGGAAAAAGAAAACAAAAATATATTAGGCTTAAGGTAAAGACAGTTTGCACCAAACCTGCCAAAGCTGTATAACTATGGAGTCTACCAGCTCCAAGTTTTCTTACATGTCCCAGGCTGGGGCCTCTGGGCATGATAGTAGCTTTATTGATCGGCATGGCGTCTTTGGTGTAGTAAGCTACAATTGCATGCCCTGATTCATGGTATGCTGTGATGAGCTTGTTCTTGTCGTCTATTTCTGCACTCCTTCTCTCAGGGCCTTGAAAAAAAGCAAAGGAAAAATAACTCCATTAGGAAAGAAGGTTATTGTTTATGGGTGGGTTCCAATAACCAGCTCCATTGTGGAACATATTCAAAGTTGGTAAAACAACCAGAAGATCAAATTCCTTATCAAATCATTTATTCACATTTGTTGTTAATGTTCTTTTATTGTACAAAGAAAGTTTTTCTTAGTGTGCTGAGTGAACAGTGATCTAATAGATGTCTTTATTTCCCATGAAATGAATTCATTAAAGAGATTTGACAGGGTTGTGATTCAATAAGTGGATTTGGAACTGGACTCAAGATTCAGTAAAAAGTTCCTGAAACCCATCGCTACTACTGCCATGTGCTCAGCATGACTTTTATGAGATAATCTTTTGCCATGTTAGATGAAAAAATGCAGACAATCAAGGATATAATAATTTAAATGTTAAGAAACAGGAAGCGTATGATCACAACTGTTAGTGTCTTTATCATCTGGCAAAGCTTTACTCACCCATTAGAATTTTGTCTTTAGCAAACTCCAGCTCCTTCATGGTGACCATGTCTTTGCCATCGACAGCTGCCTTCAGGGCAGCCTGGTTGACCAAATTTTCCAGGTCAGCGCCAGAGAAGCCGACTGTGCCCCGGGCAATGACATTGGCCTCAATAGCTGCAGAGATCACATACACAACGGTTCTCAAAGCTATTTAAACAGTCAGTCAACTGTCAGGTTTGGGTTATGCTTTTAGGAAAAACAAGCTGCAAATGTAGTTTACATTCCAGCCTGAGTCACCTTGTACAATACTGGTGCTCTGTGCTGTACCAGTGTGTTCATAGTGGTTGAAGTATTACGTACAATAATGCATTTGTGAAAAATATATCTAATGCTTGTTTCACACCTGGATCCATTTTAATCTTCTTCAGGTACCAGTCGAGGATCTCTGTGCGTCCTCTCACGTCTGGTTTGGGGACGGTCACCTGCATGTCGAAACGCCCAGGGCGGATCAGGGCACTAAAAGGGCAGATCAGTTTGTTAGTAAAACACTGAAGCACAACCTCGAAACTGTAACGTGTTCTTGACAAGGACAGCTGTGCCTGAAGGTTGTAAACTCTGACATCTACACTAGCAAAGCAAGAGACAAAGGTAAACATACTTATCCAACGCCTCTGGGAAGTTTGTTGCACCGATGATGATCACACCCTCATTTGGTTTAAACCTACAAAATAATATCACAGGGTACATACTGTACAAGGGATTCTGGTTTTTGGCTCTCTCATAACTAGAACTTCAGGGCACAGTGAACCACAACGCAGCAGTTTATTTATTTGCCTACTGATGAACACTGCATGCACATGTTACAGAAGACTGTCCTTTATTATGTGTAGCTGCATAAATCAAATAAAGACAAGGCTGCAGGATTTTTGCATCAATGTGATGAAGAACCTTGATTAGTCACACTTCATTTTATCAAAATGCTGTCTAAAATTACATGCAGCATGATGACATATTTTATCTGTCTTCTGCTAACAAATGCATTGCAAATCCAGCATGCTGCCAATGAGTACCTCTCAAAATCACTTTCATCTGAAGTGAAATAACTCCTCACTCACTTCATGCCAAAGATGTAAAAAAGCAACTGCTAATTTTAGAGATTACCCATCCATCTCAGCCAGTAGTTGGTTGATAGTCTGCCTGGAGTAAGGGTGCATGGGTGACTCAATCCTTTTCCCACCCACACTATCCAGTTCGTCAATGAAGATCACACAAGGAGCGTTGGCTTTAGCCTCCCCTACAGAAAACACATGTATCACAATATTCAGCGCAACAACTGTTTCAGTCACAATCATGCAGCTCCTGCGTTAGGGAAAGTAAAGTGCACATCCTCAGTTGGCTTCCAAGGAAGGAAATGGAAAGTGGAAAGGGAAGGGTCTATTCTGATGTTAAAATAATCTTTTTTTTTTTAAATCTCACTGAAAAGGTTTCTGATGCGGCTGGCTCCCACGCCGACAAACATCTCGTCAAACTCCGACCCGGATGCGTAGTAGAACGGCACATCTGCCTCTCCTGCCACTGCTCTGGCCAGTAGAGTTTTACCAGTCCCTGGTGGGCCAACCAGCAGAACACCTAAAGTAAAAAAAGACAAGGATGAAGAGATAAAGAAAAACAAAAGAGCGATACAAAAACAGAATCCTGAACAGAACCACCCTATTACCATATTAGCTGACAGTTTTTACAAGTCACCACACTATAACATGTTTAATCTCTACCTTTTGGCAGCTTTCCTCCCAAGGCAGTGAACTTCTGAGGGTTTCCCAGGAACTCCACCACCTCCTGCAGCTCATTCTTAGCTTCTTCTGCTCCTTTCACGTGCTCAAAGGTCACGTTTTTCATCTGGACAGGGTCCACTGCTGAGTCCAGGCCTGATGTGGTTCGGAACCGCACTGTCCAAAATGGTTAAAGTTTGAAATCACACTGCGCGGCATGGTTAATGAACTTACACACACACACACACACACACACACACACACACACCGTATACCTACTGAGAAATATTTAATAACCATGTCTGACTGTATATATTAATGCTTTCTTACACCAATTTACAAGTTATTGTCTGAAAAAAAAAATGAAAAGGGATCTGCTATATGAAGCTTAGTTCTTTTCTTTTAAAGCTTAATAAATATTCCAAATACTGTACATAGATTTGTTTAGTAGGCAAATCTTCTTCTTCTTCTTAATATTATTATTATTATTAAGATTTGTGAATTATTATTAAGGTGATGACATTAAAGTGAAAATCAAAATTAGAGGAGAAAAGAAGCCTTTACCTGATATGAAGGGGGTCTTGGAGAGCCCATAGAGCCCAACAAGAAGCAGGACCAGTAGGATGAGACGAGTCCTCCTCAAAGAGTCTACACAGTTGGAAAAATTACAGGAAAACCATACACACTGTTTAATAACGGTAACTTGTGTGAGAAATTAATGTGTGTGCCTCTATTTAAACTTGCCCTGTGTGCGCTGTGTCAAGGCTTGAGCTTTGAGGAAACCCTCAGCAAAGCCCCTCTTGAAAGCATCCTGTTGTCCATCAGGTACGTTCTTGCTCTTCAACAGGCTGTCTAGACTGTCCACATCAATCCCCTTGTCACGTGTCAGGAAACCCTGCAGCACAATGAAAGACTGGTCAGCAGGATGCAAAGAATCATTAGCCAACTATAGCAAAGATATGTAACATATCTATTTCAGTCATGAAATTATTGGTCACACATAGTAGACAGAACACCAAATGGTTCTACCTTCATAAAGGATGGTGTGAACCCTTCAGACTCCAAGGGCTGGTCGAAGGTTGACTGCACTCTCCTTGTTTTGCTCCTTAGAGTTTTAAAGCCTCTGCTCTGCATCAACACTTAAAATATACAGTAAGCACATGAACATATGTTTAATCACATTAAAGCATATATAAATTTAAATATATTAAATACAAGTATAAGAATACTGCAAAGATATACAGTATCAGTTAAAAACAGATAATACTGACAATGAACTGTTTGTTATTCTCTGACTAAATGTTAGTCTATGTTGTTTTCAATAAACATACAAACAAAATCAGTGACGTGCGGTGAGGTTGACAGCTGGTGAGGCACTGACTCTTTTACAGTCAGATTTACAAATGCAAATGAACTGTTAACAAATAGTCTGTTAACAGACAATGCGTTGTGTTTTATATCTCATATCAGCATTCTTCACACAAACGTGACCCATTTTTTTATTTGAGGTTAAAGTTTATTCCAATTGAGCTTATTTCTAACTAGAAATAATAAAAGTTTATGGTCTTACCTTTACTTGTACACGAAATCCATTTGTCAGCTGGTATGTATTACAAGAAATATAAACAAGCACGAAGAAGATTGTAGGTAGCGCAAGAATCTGTGGGCTCACTAGCGCCCTCTGCCTTGAGGCTGGGGTACTGTTTGCCTCACCGAGTAACTTTTTTACTGGGTTTTATGGTTAATCTGCGAGCCTAAACACGTTACAGAACTACATTTTATACATTATCCAGATTATGGCAAGGCAGAGCATATAATCAGAGTGTTTGAAAGCATTTTATTTGCGATATATAGAGGGACAGCGACACACTATTTGCATCGCATACAGTTTGTGAGGATTACACGATCCACCGAGAGGCACAGCAAAGTGCTGCCTCATCGCGCATCTCCTCCATGTATTTGAACGGCACATACGGAAATTCTGCTATTCTTTATTGAAAAAAAAAATCCTTCAACATCGGATTCAAACGGCAAGAGGGCCTACAACACACACCAGCCGACAAATATTAACATTTATTACATTTTATGGTTAACTTTTTTTTTCTTTTCAAGATTGACAGGGGAGGCTCTGCCTCACCTGCCTCCCCTGACCGCACGTCACTGAACAAAATGATTAGTAACAAGTGAATGGGAAGCTTAGATTAATAATGAGCTATTAGCGCTCTTTCAGACTCTATGCAAGCTACGCAGCTGCAGTGCTATGAAAGGAGGGTTTGGTGCATACTTGCGTAGCAAAATGTGTAGTCCAAAAATGTGTGCTAAGATGCAAGTGCGAGTGTTATTTCATGCACTTCAAAAAGGATCGCTAACGCCCATAGAGTCTGAGATAGCCCTTACACTACTGCTTCTAATCCATAGTTACCTGACCAGTGTTGTAACTCTGTACAGACAGACTGAAGGGGTGAGTGGTGCTGCCTGGAAATAACTGGGGTCAATAAGGGCATGGGACCACTTGAGAACCCTGGGAAAACAAGACAGGTATTATTGTTTAAACACACACACACACACACAAAGACACAAAAATAAATTCAGAGATACTACTGAAAAAAAGGAGTTAGAAATTGCCACCAGGTTTGTTAAGACTGTCACTGAGTAGCTGACTAAAGTGATGACAAAGGGATGGATGCCTACCACCTCCACAAACCAGTTTCCAGTTCAGTTCTCTGTAAGCGCTCAGTACAACAACATGTTTAAAATATCTTGTAAGCCTGACGTGATAGTATTCTGAATTCCTTCATAAATTATGATAAGAAACGATGGTTTTGAGGTTCCAATAATGTTCAAGCAATAAGAAATGTTGTGCCACAACTGTGTTTAATGAAAATGCATCCAGCAGTCACTGATCCCATGGTAAGAAGCACCAGCGAGATGTAAATTAAACTGAGCTTGAGAAAAGTGAGCACCAGTCTGAAGGTCTTTTCAGACATGTAGTAGAACCCTTAAATTATTGAGACTTTACCTGGGTGAGCTGTATGTGAGAACGCAAATGTCAGAATCAGCTGACCCGGACTTTACCCTGGCAGCTCCCTAGTACAGAGTCCAGGTTATGTCCGAGTGAGCTGGAATGAGCCCATGTGTACAGTCTGAAGTATTCACATGGAGCTAGTGGGTGTGTTGATGACCTTTTATCATGCAACCAGCATAAAACCAGAAGAAAACAAACATACGATGGTATGTAAAAAGGTAATTTCCAATGAAGACGCCAACAAAAATATCTGACTGGAGACACAACAAGATTCGGGAACTTCTGTTGTTAAGAGCCGGCGCCAGAATCACGAGTCAAATTTAAGGTATGGCAAGACACCTTTATGAACAAATTATATACTGGCTACATGTCTGCATCATGTCGTACATCCTGCCTGTTCTACCCAGCACATTCTCACCATACTTGTTGCAAAAAAAGGAGTGTGTGGAGAGATGGGAAGTCCTCCAAGCTGTCTGACTGCCCGATGGAAGCAGGGCTTCCAGTGGGCTCAAGTGTGGTAACACATGGTTCATCAGATCATCCAGCTGCTGTGTTCCCAGGTCTGATAATCCAAGTTCCCGCAGGTTCCACATGGTCTGCACGTAAAACACACACATATTACACACAGTTTCAAATTTTTGTTACATTCCCTCAAAAATTATTCCACAATAAATTTTTTGTTACTCCAAGTGGCAGAGAGCTTGACAATGTGAAAGTAAACACATTACAATATGCAGCTGTAGATTATCCCCTACTAGTGAATACCTCTGTACATTGTAGAGGTGAGTTCGAAGCTTGATCCTTGGGTTTTCTTGATTTGCAGGTGGCACTGCTGCTGCTTCCCACTGAGATTTTCAGAGAGTGGAGGACGTTGATGAGGTGGCTCAGGGGTACAGTCACCTGTGGTCACATGCAACCAACAGCAAGTCTAGCGTTATTAAACTATATACACACATATATCTTGTCTCTGTGCAGAGTTTGCATGTTGCATCTTAGGTTAACTGGTGACTCTAAATGGCCCATAGGAGTGAATGTGTGTGTTTGTCTAAATGTCAGCCCTGTGATAGACTGGCGACCTGTCCGCCTCTCGCCCAGTGTCAGATGGGATTGGCTCCAGGCTGTTAGTGGTCACGGGTACATCAGGTAGCTGGTGTTGAAACGTCTACAGATCTGAATCAAGTAACTTGTAACTACACTCAAGTAAAACAGTCACATTGGTAGATATGTTGAGTCTACCGATTAATCAGAATATGCACTGTTAGGTATTTTTAGTCAGATATATACTTTATGTATTAGAAATGTTTAGTGGAGATAGGATGTCTAGTTATACTGTTAAATGCTTAGTCATGCTTATGAGTTTCTACAGGGTACATCTGGTCAAGGATAACTAGAGAGAAGAGTTGATGACTGTCAGCAGACAGGGTGTTTAATATTATTATTATGACGTGTATAACTGTAGCCTTAGCCATAATATGTTCTTATGTTTAAGTCACGACATGTTACTAG